TTTAAAATTTCCGCAGTAGAAGAGTCTCGGAACGGAAAAAGAATTAGGGACGAATGCGCTAACGTAAAAAATAATTCCCAATAGGCCATTTCCGAGTTTCCCCGCGCCTCTGTTTCAAAACGAGGGTAGGTGCTCAGCCTTTGATATGGAAATCATTTTTCATTCTCGTTCAAATAAAACTCATTTTAACAAGAAAGGCTGTGCGCCTAACCTCATTTTGAAAGTGAGGGTTTTTGAAACTCCGAAGTGGCCTATTCAAACGATGCATAAAAAATCACTCTGAAATGTATCGATCACGGTGGTATGTAGTGGGCACTAATTTGAAAACTTAGCATAAAGTCAGAACAGTGCTAATCGGAACGCAGAGATCTTGGCCTGTTTGTAGGCTAGGTTGGGCTTGGAATTTTACGGTGGTGCAGTAAATCAATGTTAATGAAAGTTTGACGCACCATTATGCACATCATATATGATGATTACGTTATTTGTTATTTTTGTAGAATAGGGCATTTCCGAGTTCCCCCGGGCCTCTGATATCAAAATAATTTGTCATTCTCATGCGAATAAAACTCATTTTCATAAAAAAGGTTGTGCACTTGGCCTCATTTTGAAAGCGAGGTTTTTGGAACTCGGAAGTGGCCTAAACTATCGAGCCGTTCCTGAGATATATGAAAAAGCGTTCAAAATTTTGCAGAAAGTTACACTTGGAATGGTGTTTATAAAAAAAGCTAGTTTCCAAGATCGCAAAATAGGAAATACACTAAAATTTTCTAGCATGGAAATATATGATATTAGGCAGCATTGTGATGATACTTTTGAGTAATTTGAGTTGTTTGGAATTTGAGTTTATTATTTGTTCATGTATCACCACTTTTGAAAATATAAGGTTTGAAATTTATTTGCGTTCTATTTGAATTCAAACACAGAATTTTTTTATTCTTACGAAGATTATTTCCCAAACACCGTACTTTTTCCTTTTTTGCTTTAAATGGGCTGTAGTGATAATGATGATGATAACTTTATTTACGTCTCAAACTTCTAGCTTAGCACAAGTGCTGAAACTAATCGCGGAGACATGCTATGCTATTAGCATTTTAATTTTTGGTTCATATGAATAAGTTTCCGATCAAGCGTCATTAATCAATGCTGTTGTTGTTGTTGTTGTTGTTGATGTTGTTGTTGACCTGTCTTCATAGACAAGCCTACTTAACGCCGGAACCGTTTTTGTAATTCCAAACCTGCATAGGCTTCTAGTATAGATTAAGAGAGTTTTACGGGATAGTTAGGAAACTTCCGGATTTTTAGGGATGTGAAGGGATTTTTTAGAGAATTTGGTGAAGTCGAAGATTTTTGAAGAAATTTTGGAGACATTCTGGAAAGATTTTTAGACCATTCAAATAAATTTTTGTAGCTAAGACTAAACATCCGTGTCACTGTTAGACGTATTTCTTAGTAAACAATTGCTCTCTTTCTTTCCTAACCATCCTAAAGTCCTATTATGAGATTACGAAAGAGAAACACGGAAAAAGGGGGAGATATGCATGTGGCAGAAAAGTGGCAACGTAAGCTTCTAGCCTTCCTGACCCATAAATCGTGGTTTATCCCTCGCCAGTAGAGGTGAGTTTTACGGCATTAACTTTGGTCAACAAACCAAAAGATTATCTTCTCGAATTCTTTTAAACTTGTCGCGTAAGTTTTGTACGTAAACCGACCGTCATTCCTGACTGAAAAATTTAAAATGACTTTTGGTAGAAGGTGTCTCTGGGGGATTGAGGGCGAACAGCCGGGGAAGCGAAAAGCGGTCACAACTCACTTTCTATTCTCTATCTCTATGCCCAGCTGAATAGAAAGTATTTCTGTGATAAGCATGAAGAGACAAAATAACACAATGGTGAATGGAGGGAGCCGCCGGCAATCGAGCTTCTTATCAGTGGCGGATCCAGGAACCCACCCCCCCCCCGCCGCTCCCACCTTATTTTTAGATCAAACTGAGGCCAGAAGGTCCAAAATTTTTTTTGAAGACCGGGTTCCCCCCCTTTATCTCAGGGTCTGGATGACCGGGCCCCCCTTAACTGAAGGTCTGGATCCGCCACTGCTTATACCAATGATAGTTATAGCAAAGGCATCACTGAGAATATAAGGGATATACGCGAAAAACACGTCAGATACAGAGCACTAATAAGAAAAAGGAAAGCTAGATTTAAGATTCATCATAAGCGCAAACAAGATATCCGGTGTCAGATCATTTAAGAAAGCGATGCAAAACTAGAAGTACAAATTAAACGTTGGTATACCTATAAACCTGATACATAAGAAAACGAAAAAAGCAGCTCCGAGTAAATTGGTCGGCGTCAAGTGGTGTGAAATTCACAAGGAGTGGTTTATAAAACTGAACTAAACAATGTAATCAACAACTGAAAGAAATACATTTCCCTTCCACCCACCGCCCTCTCAAACGTGCCCTCCCCTAAGACCTTAGGAAGGCCTGATAATCAGGCTACTATCCAGTCATGATATCGTAGTAATGTTTGAAAGACAAACCCAATAAAGCCAGGAATCACTTTTTTGAACTAGAAAGTAGTCCAAATACAGTTAGATATCATGCTTATCTTTTCCTTTCGGATCACGCCATCTATTTGTCTTTATCCAGGCGGGTAGGCAATAAAACAAAGGAAGCTCTTAGCTTATCAAAAATATTACAAAGTTGCTCAAACCAGGCAACTCTTCTGGAAATAACTGTTTTATTTAATTCACTGCCAAGGAGATACGTTAACAGTACTTCACACGAGCCGAATTAAATTCGAAGGCCTACCCAACGGTTTAGAAAGGCTGAATTGATTAAGACGCCGATCTTTCTCCCAGCTGTACTACGGCCCCGGCCGTCCACACGAATCCGAAGATTTTTTTAAACCGCATATTCTTTAGTCGGATGTTCGTGTGGATGAGGACTTAAACTACTCTGGAGAGTGTTTTGAAGAGACGTGGTTTTGGTGAGCACATTCACTGGTTTGTTGTGGACGGTAGGCCGATTTATGCGGTTTCATAAACATCTGGATTCGTGTGGACGTGACCTAAATTCAAATGAAGAAAAATCAAAATGCGTAAAACCATATTTAACGCAAAATTGTACATTTGGTTCCGCTCATATGAACTTCGGCGTCTGAATCAAGGCCGGTCCACAGCCGTTATTCCCGGCAGAGCCAATCGGAAAGGCTGGGTCGATCCAGACTCAATTAGTTGCTTCGTATTGTTTCAGACGTCGTATCCGTACTTCTCATGAATTTAATCCATTGTGTTCGGTCTTTAGACACGTGCCCTGTTTTGCTGATTTCCACGGGCAAGCGTTCTTAACGAGAAAAATCGATAATAATTGTCGAAATTAGTGAAACCCTTACGAAGAAGGGCAAAAAATAGTTAACCTCTGTCCTTAAGATTTACGATGTTAACGCAAAGAATAGCACACTCAAGCAAACGGTTTTAAAAGGTATACAGGCGAGGAAAAAGTTATAATTTTTGCCTGTAAGGTCCAGTAACTAAAAAAGTTTTGTATGAATGTGCCTGTCAACATCGTTTATCATAAGGGCTGCTCAAGGTTACGCTAGCAACGTTTCATACACAGTCTCCATCACATAGCAGTGAGCCAAAAAATAACTATTTATGACTCTTTATTACAAGTCTCTCCTGCGGCGTCCTCATGGCACTGCTAGTGACAAACATCCTTTATTTTCTGTTTGGATCACTGAATTGTCTTTTTATTTTATTTTTAATGATCAAGATTATTAGTTTGGGCTTGGGTTCACAACTTTCCTGCACAGAGCAGTCTACCCGTAAATCACTTCAAATGTCATTAGTAAAGTAACACACTCAGGTAAAATACGTACTGTTTTAAATTTATGATTGATGAATAATCCATTCGACAGCTCTTTCAAACCCATTGAGTAATGAAACTCGGCGGCAATTCAACATCCACTTGGCGGGAAAGACTCGATTTTGGCATCGATTGAAATCTCGTGCAACCAGCCCGTTGTAGTCAGCCACTGACTTCCACGTGCGCCTGCGATTACGCTCATCCGGGGACTTAGAGACCAGCACGGCCGCGCGAAGGAACTGGATGAACTTTCCACTGTGGTCATGGTACTCCACTAAAGATTGATAAGCTCTAGAGTAGGCAATGGCGGGATTCTTAGTATCTTCAAGAACTTTTTGGCGAAAGCTGTCACCTTTCGGCATGAAGTGAGCACGTTCAAGTAGCTCTTTCTTAACATCTGTGTACACCGACCAATTTAAAAACTCTGTAATAATGACCGAGAAGGGATTATATACGTTTAAGAGTGGCTTGTAGGTATCCAGGATGCTGGGCAAGGGAACAAAGTCTGCGATGTTGGAGGTTGTCACACGGTCAAACCTGTGGCCTTGGGGAACAAATCTTGCTATCTCTATGCAGTTAAACAACAGAAAGTGAAACTTGACTCGCCCAGTGGCGAGCTTCAAGGCGGATTTCTTGAGCAGATGACTCACATACTCACTATACATTTTCAGGAGCGACGCTGACTGACCCCACTGGCGTACTTCATTGTAGTCCCAGCCAGCAAATGGAAGGACAGATGACTGAATTAAGTAAGAGAAGGCGCCCTTGTTTCGGTTAAGTTGGAAATCGGAACCGGTGAGTGTAAAATTTTCTCGCAACAGTTCTCTCCGCGATTCCTTAGGTGAAAGAATTCCGTTCGCAAACCAATCAGATGCCGATTCTTTCTGTTTCTTAGGAATTTCTTTCTAGTAGAGATTCATTCCCTCTTGTGCGTCAAAACTTGTAAATCGCTTGTTTCGAGCTTCTGTTATCCAGTCTCCTTGGCGTGTGCTAAGATCAAGCCAGGTACGCCACACTTCAACAAGCCTTTGAAAATGGCCCTGGTTCATCTTCATTGTTCCTTTTGTCAGTTCCTCAAGACTGGATGCCTCGACCAGCTCTTGCAACCTGGAAATCACTAGCCGAGAGTCCACGTCGCTGAGACCCAAAGAATACCAAATCTGCGTCACTGAACTTGCAACATCTTCCCCTCCTACGAAAAATAAGCATCGATATGTTTCCACGCCTCATGTCCAAAACTGCTGTAGGTAAATCGACATACCTTTAGGCCATCATAAACTCAGCTGAGTAAGGACAGGACTCTTTTGACCCGTAAGGGAGTTTTCATTGTTTATGGTTGGGGCAGGGGTTTAACCTCGTCCCCGGGGGGTTCTCTCTTAAAAATAGAAAGTATGGGGGGAAAGGAGGTCATTCAAGTTTTGTTGTTGCTTAATGGGCACTGAAGGGGTCATACAGATATTGAAAATAAAGGTATTACAAAATGCCTCCCCCAAACTCCCTCCACCGCCCCCCGCAATCATGAATACTGAACGTTTTCGTTGGGACGGTCTTCATCACTTACCTTTATAAAGAAAATAAAGAATCAGAGCGGTCCTGGCGAGTGTACAGGCGCAAATGTCGTTTAAAGTGAAGGTCATTTCCTGTTTATAAACTTCAGGAAGATCACACAGAGAACGCAGAATATTTCTTGGGTCTCCAACATCGCAGGCAAGAACCGACAAAGGTTTGGAATAGTCAAATCCCTCGTTCAATGAAAGATTGATGACGTCCGTGGCAGGGGTGTTCCCCCAGTAATATACAGTTCCCACCCCATGCGAGTTTGTGCTCTTCTTGAAATCGAAGATATCGTTCAGCCTTTCAGACAATTCGCTGATCTTTGCTATAACCGGTCGGCAGAGATGCTTGTGCGTCGGCCAAGCCTTCTTCTGACATTCTTTATCACAGTACCACGCTTCACGACAGCCGCCACACGATTTCAACCCAATCTTCTCTTGGTTACATCCAGAGCACTTCCGCTTCAAAGCAGCCGTCTGACAATCTACTTGATGCCGAAACTCATCACTGCCTTTGCACTTATCGCTACAATAACACGCTACACCGCATCTGCTGCAAAGGATCTTCGAGGTTGGAGTCGAACAAATACCATCACAGCGCCGACACTGATCTCTTTTGAGCATTATACCCAATTACCCTTAAACCAGAGAACTATGGACAATGGCCGAACTGCAATTTAGTATAAATATATGTAAATGATGACATTTCCGGTTCTCAGAAACACAAAATGGTTTCCGAGAAATTTTAGTATACCTTAAGGGTGCAGGAGGACTTCTAGACCCCGTGACCTTTTTGAATAAGCAGTGAGGAGGTTTCCCAACTAGGTAACATCTTCCTCTTGCACAAGCTCGCAAAATATTGTTTAGAAGTTAAACTAAGCAGATTTATCTACCTTCTTAGTTGGTAAAATGAATTTTAGAACACAGAATACTTAAGTAGGCTTCTCAACGCACTCCCTCCCCCTAGGAGATTTAACATGAATTCTCGGAAAGCAAAATATTTCTGAGAATTAGAAAGGTAAATTCCGTTTAGAAAGCAGCGCGGCCAAGCAGTTAGTGTGCTACTAGGGGCATTGAAATCTGGAGGCTCCGAGTTCAATTTCTGGACACCTTATCGCTAGCTGGATTTGTTCTCGGTAATCCCAAGTTTATCCCCTTCGTGACGATTGTAAATAGCCAAATGGTTTGCCTCCAGCCTGTTGGGATTCTTAACCTTGTGGGCCATAATTGGAACTTCTAGGTTACCAGCAATTATGTTATCCCTTTTTCACCATCTACACCCAAATTAGTCCCATTTGCCCAAAATAGGGCCGTAAAAGCCGGAACCTGGTATCAAAGATGAGTTTGAACAAATGAAACGCGAATTTCCATTTGGCTTATTCCGACCGGGAAAATAAGGGTCCTTTACCGTTTACAAAATGATTTCAGGAAATTCCGGCTGGAAAATAAATAGGGCACGACTTTTCGGTTCTTTCCAATTCAAAATTTCCAGGAGAATAAACGGAACTTTGGTAAAGATGGTCCTAAGACTAATTGCTTGGTATGAAATAACTTTGAAGACAAGCTGACACACAGGCGTGAATCGGGCATTAAATTTCATGAGTGCAAGACGTAAGTACAATATATATGCGTTATTGATCAAGCGTGATAGTAGCCAATCAGAACAAGAATATTCGCTTTATCGTCCCCTATTGCGAAGTAGGCCATAGAATAAACTGAGAATTGCCATTCGTGACTGACAAGAGGCGTTTCCGTGCTATGATTTTGATGGTATGATGACTGAAACTCGGGATATTTAACAATTATTCCTCGAGCTCGAATGGGCTCTGAGTCAATAGCCCATGAGGCCTTCGGCATCATGGGCTATTGACTCAGAGGCCATGAGGGCGAGAGGAATAATTGTTTTAGTAAAATCCAACTAGTTGGTACTGAAAATATCGAGAATAAAAAAATCTTAGCTAGTTAAATCTAGGCTTTAATCCGCCTTTTTGGCCGCCAAAAAGCGCGCGCTTTTCGCTAATAGTAAGCTATAACATATAGCGTTGTAGTAGCTCAACCAATCAGAACGCAGCTTTGATAATAGACCTCTAGTTGGATTTTACTAAAGTGAATGATTTTTCATATGGTTGGTGTAGTTTGGTGGAGGTTGGTGCGGACTGGTGTATTTCGCTGCAAGTTGCCGAACGGGAGGTGGCTGGTTCATACCCCGGCCAGACCAACACTCAGGGTGTTTTATATGTGCTACCTTTGTTGTGACTTCTACAAATGGTTAGACATTCGTGTCTTCTCAGATAAGGACGGAAAACCGAAGCCCCCGTTTCACAGCTCTTTCACTGTTCTGATTTTTGTGGAACGTAAAATAACCCACACTGCTGTTCGTAAAGAGTAGGTGCGTAGACCCCGGTGGTGTGGTACGACCTTAAATGGGATGGGTGGGTAATGAAGGGGTTGATATTAATAGGGGTGTAAGTCCCGTTTCATCCCCTGTCACCGTGTTGAGTCACTGTGGCGAATTTCAGTAAAGTAAAGTTGGTTTAGTTAGGGAAGTGTGGTTTAATTTGGTTCAGATTGGTATAGCTTGGTCAACCAAACCTCACACACCAAACCACATAAAAATTACACCGACGTTACGCCAAAACTACACGGTCTACACCAAACTACACCAACTAATCAACTTTATTTGCCAAAATACATCAACTACCCCAAACGACACCAAGTACACCAAACTATAGCAACTACACTAGTCTACGTCAACTAACTAACTACCACAACTACATCAGTAAAACTAAACTACCCCAAGCACACCAAACTAACCCAATTACACCGGTCTATATCAACTACACTAACTACTTATGAGTGATATAATTTTTTTAAAATATGGGTGAATCCACAAGCGCGCAAGATGAAGGGAATCCTGCGTTCTGATTGGATTCTCTAACAGTCAACTAGGCCCATCTTGCCCGCGCGGGTTTTCCGCGTTGGTCCCTTAAAAAGTTTCCTTGTCAGCCATATAATAAATCCGTTGTTGACCAAGCTTGTTCGGTCAAGATGGCTGAATTCTGGCCTCGTTCGTTTTTCGGCTTGGTAAATAAATACGCAAAAGAACTTGGCCAATATCCAACCATCTTGACCTCACGCTTGGTCAATAACGCATATTAACTGAACAAGGAATCTTTTTCACTGGAAACGGTTATCATGAATCTTTTACGCAAGTTTCTTTCAGTTCTCGCCCGGCATCCCTAGAAGTTTTCAGTGTATGTGAGCGAACAAACAACATTCCTGCATATTTTTCACTAGCCTACCACGCAGACTTTCCAAGGGCTTCGTCACGCTTCCTGTCCAAGAAAATCGACGACAATTCACCGCCCATCTAAACGGAACCACTGTGTTCTCGTTTCTGACAAAGTCACGTAAATACAGCCCCAGTGAATTCACGAGAGACTTCACGGATGGAATCTTCTTTTGTCTTTTAAATAAGGTTAGCTCGTTTTCTGTACAGGAGGCTAGCAAGAGATGCGCGCAGTACCAGAAGAAATTCATTTGAGAGGTTGATGTATTCTACAACTGTGGTAAGTCCTGATTCCTCCACAAGTTCTGGATCTTGTGTGTCTTTCAAAGCTTTTCTTAAGAGATCGTCCAGTCCGTGATAATACGGCAATTGATGAACGATTTCAGGCATATAGTTACGCGGCCAGTTTTGTGTCTCAGTTAGTATGACGGCATGAGAATTGGTGCTGTTTAAAAGTCTTTCGAATTTTGTCAACACATCCGTTAGGGGATAATAGTCCCACAAGTTAGAAGTCAATACGCGATCATATCTCAAACCTTCAGGTAAGAAGGTGTCGATGTTCAGAAAGTCGCACATAACAAAATAAAACTTTACCTGACAACTGCTCATTTTGTCAGAGGATCTGTGCAGGATCTCTGACAAATATTTGGTGTACATTATCGGCAGTGATTTATCATAGCAAGTTTTCTCGGCTGCTTTGTAATCCCACGCCGTAAATGGAAGCACATCTGTAGGAATACTGTAGTAAAATTCAGAGGTTGATGAAAGTCGGTGTAAACCGCGACCCGTCAACGTAGGATTTTGTTGCGTTAATTCGTCAGACGTTTTGGTGGAGAGAAAGATGCCGGTGTCAAAGAAGTGTTGTGCAGACGCCCTGTGCACTTTGGGGATGGCATGCAGGTAATGGCTTAAACCATCTTCCCTACCTGAATCCGCCCTGATCGCCATTTTCTGAGATCTTCTACCCAGGGTCCTCTCTGTTCTGACAAACGAAGCCACGTGGACCAAACGATCTTAAGCTGGCTCAGCTGGGAAGCAGAAATCTCCCTCAAGCCATCGGTGAGGGTACTCGGTTCAGCTGTAGCCGCAAGGTCTTGAAGTGCTAACGTCAGCAGTGTGAAGTCTTTTTTAGTTATGCGGACAGAGTACCAAATACGGACCACTGCAGAAGTGACGTCATCTCCTCCTAAGACGGATGAAAAGTAATTTTGAATACCTAATTGTAACTAGAGATGAAGATTTGCTGGTTAATGTCGAGTACCAAGGCGGAATATTTCTCGCTAAAGGCTAGTGAAACATTTGTTTACCGTTTACGATGGTCTGCTCCAGCCTCCAAGATAGTAGTGCAGTCGTACAGCAAAAGTGACCCACCGCCCACTTCCCTAGATCGCGCGCGTCTTATTTTTTGCTTGGCTTGATTTATATTCGTGAGGACCCTACTATCTGAAAACCTGGCACAGGCTACGTTAACTCATGAAATTGCAAAAACTTTGTTGAGATAAACTTAGAGCTTGCTTGTAATGTGCAGACACTTTTCAGCTGTAGCCTATGAATACATCCGGGGTAGCTAATCGAACGAAACCGAACCAAAAATCAATCGAACTCAATCGAACCCAATCAGTTGGATTGTTGTTCGATTGGTTCGGTAATCGAACATTATCGAACTGGACCTTTTCGGTGAGCTTGATTAATCGAAATCGTGAGTTCGATAGCCGAACTCAATCAAACCAATCGAACTCAATCGACCCGATTAGTTCGATTTTGTTCGGCAGAAAGACAAAACGTATCCAGTTTAAATTGAATCGGAAAGATCTCCCTGGTATGTATGTGAAGCAGTTTGAAAACAAAAATATTCAATTAACCCGGAACTAAAATTCTTATTGTTAAAGTGTTTCAAAATCGATAAATTCACACTCGAATCAATACTGGGAACATGAACGGCACAGAAAAACCATGTGAAATGGGACTTTACCGATCGTGATGTCCTTAGGGATACCAGAAAAGTCAAACTTTCTTCCATAAAGTTTCGATAATTTAGAAAGGACCACAAAACTTTTCATCGACACCGACGGCGAAAGAGCACGCGTGGTAGCTTTTAACCATCGCTTCCAGAATTGTTCATTTCACGCTTTGCGCCCTCGGTGACACCTTTGCTGTTTTTGCGTACTCGTGTTTGAAATTAAAGCCAATACATACAACTTATTTGAACGCAACACCTTCTTTGAAACCAGATGAAACTGGTTTTATGTTCAATTGTTGCAGTGTTTGATTGGCAAAATTTTGGGGTGAGTTCGATAAGTTCCATTACCGAACCCAATCGAAGTCAGTCAAACGATTGGCGTTCAATCGGGGTTCGATTAACGAACGTTCGATTGGCGACGCCGATATACATTCACCATCCCCTTAATGATCAATGAAGGTATCGTATAAATAAAAAAGGAATAAATGCGTAAATTCTCAAAACAAATGAATTAACTATTATACGCAATGATGGAATTATACATTTCAACCGCTAAGCCCCGTATGGCACTTACAGCTGCACTTCGTGTTTGCAATTACGTGAAAATCACTTGATGTTGGTAAAGCAGTTAGAAAACTTTAGAAAATTTTCCCGTTGCTGGAACCTTGCCATTGATGTCCTTGCGAACCACTTAAAAAAATAATCCGATACTGTGCTTCAGGATGTCCATACACGTAAGGAGGGGACTGTAGATGCATTTAACTCCCTTACCCGCAACAAAAGGGCGCTTTCCATCTCACCGATTACTGGATCTTAAAAAATTATCCTTACGAAAACAAAAATGTCAGATCAATAAATCAAGTGTTTTTAGGAAGGAAAGCTCTAAGGGCACCCCTTTTGAAGTTAAAAGCTTGAGGTGCAAAAAGGGCTTCATGCCCAGTTAAATACCGTAAATGATCGATTAAGCACCACTACGTATACTCGAATAAGTGCCGCAGCGCTAATTTGGGTATTTACAAATTAACGCGCCACCTTTGTTACAGCGCTTGATATAAAGAGATATCAAAACCATATCGCTTGAGAAATAAGACCTCGACCAACTCATGAGTTCTAAAGTTATAAATATGTGAAAAATTTTCAAACCTGGTTTACATAACAATTCTAGGTGTACATATTTTATACTAAATTAAACATACCTATTACGTACGCGCCCTATTTAATACTCTCTATATTCCCCTCAGTGTTTTACCCGTAGTTGAAATAAGCGCCGCACCTATAACAAAAAATGAAACGAAAAAATTAAATAAGCGCTGCAGCGCTTAATCGATCATTTACGGTATACCCTAAGCAACTTATATCTTGATAATTGAACATACCTTTATATAGCATGTATAGAAGCAGAACGGTTCTGGCCAATGTGCAAGGACAGATGTCATTTAGAACAAAGCTGACTTGCTGGTTATAAACATCAGGTAACGAAGCAGTTGTAAGTAGAACATTCCTTGGATCACCAACTCCGCAAAGCAACAAAGTCAGTGAATTGGAATACTCTTCTCCTTCATTCATTGACAAATTGAGCAGGTCTACAGCTGGGATATTACCCCAGTAGTAAGTAGCTCCGAGGCCTGTGTTATCCTTTTTCATCTCATGAAGCGCCTTCATTCTTTGTGCTAATTTCAATGTTTTGTCAACGGCATCGTGGCAGAACGTTTTGTGTCTTTTCCAGTCGCTTCTCTGACACTCCGTGCTGCAATAACAGGCTTTCAAACAGTTGGTACACTTCATCAGTCCCTCTTGTTCAATATCGCACGCTGAACATTGCAATTTCAACGCTGCTGTCTCGCATTCGGGTTGATGTCGCCACTTGTCTTGTTTCTGACATTCCTTGGAGCAGTAATACGCCACTCTGCATCACGAACACTGTTGAGTACAGATTGCCTCGCAACGCCAGCAATGGTTGGGTTTGTTCATGATCTTTGCTGCTACCTGTTGTCTCTGGAGTATAAGGGAAATTATTAGGTTACCTCGTTGCAGAGCATTGAGTCAGCAACTGCCTTCAAAGATACTAAAGAATGCAAACAAACCTATACTTCCTGCCGGCGATAGTTATTTTGTATATCGTCTTACTGGGATCCTTTCCTTAAGAAGAATGCGTTATTGAGCGTCTCAAATTACCCCGTACTTCATAGACTAATTAGCATTATGGAGTGACAAAGAGATTTGGTGCCATTAGGGATAAAGAATACACTCAATCAGATAACTTACCTTGGTATATTTATCTTTTCCTTGAATTTTAAACTTACTAAAAATAATCTGGGAGATATCGTCTTCGCGTGACCGTTATATAGCAAACCAGCTGACACCTAACCAATACTCTTCCTCTTCGAGACTTAGTGTGCACTTCTTTTCCTCCTTCATTCGCTCATATTCTCATCACTGATAAAATGAGACATTACTTGATATTGATATTCAGTAGAAATGATGAGGACGCGTTTGCTATGCCACACAAATGACTTGACACTCCTAGGTTAGATGTCAGTTGTAACAGGACACCATGACATCTGATATCAAGCCATCCACGTTATCGTAGTTATCAATGCAACAACGAATTGGGGACTAGAAAGACCAAAGCCGTACTATCTCCCCCCACCATTCCGTGACAACGTGTCTGGTAAACATTTATCATAAGCAGAGGGTCCGTTTGAGACTTTTTATAAGTCGAAGTCAAGAGGTAAATAAGGGTGATAATTCACTCGACAGAACAAAACGGACGTGGCACAACAAAAAAGAGAGAAAGAGATAAACGAGATTTTTTATCATTCTACGCAGGGATTTCCGAGAATAGAGCGGGTTTTTCCAAGAACTTGAGTTGCAGGAGCTGCAGCATACATTAGCAGTGTAAGCAGACTAGAGTGGCAAAGCAATATTGGAGAAGCTTTCACATACGAGTTTATTTACGACTGGAATAATGGCGGTTCTGTAACATTAAAAACACAGACAAATTGCACTTTTCAAAAGTATTCGATTCGAATGAGCTTTGTCTTCTAATAGAGGGAAAACTGAGGCTAATCCCCAGTGTTTGGCCCGGTGATCTTAAATACTGAGCTCACGCAATCATGAATATATTTAAATCATCAAAAAGAGACTCTTTCATGAAAGAGACTTGGAGTGACTGGTGAACGTTCTTCCATGAATGATATTCCAAGTAAAAAACTTGGAAGAAAAGTAAGCCTTGAAATAATGGTTCAGTTTTATAAAAAATTACTCTACTACTTTGCCTCAACGAGAAGTGTATGTCTTTAACTTTCGAAGGCCAGGATGGAAACAGATTGCAGCTCGAAAAAAAATGGCCCTATGTTGTGGAAAAATGACCAAAAACTATGATTTCTTTGTTTTCCCTTTCGATAAAATCCTTTTATATCTTTCTTTAAGAGTTCCAAGTATGATAAAAGATGACTGAGACTGAGAATACTTAGTTAGCTTTAGTTATATCAAATTTCTGCTCCGCTTTGACCAAAAAAAGAGGAACCCATAAAAATTAAGACGAAGTGAATTTTTTTACCAAACGCCACTGTAGCGTGCTTTCGTAACTGCTTTATAGGACAAAAAAACTGTTTTCTTAACGGTTTCAAGTCGTACGGCCTATTGATGATCACATAAATGGCATGTCTAAATCAAAACAAAGTGTTAAAGGTGTTTTGATTTACAGGTTAATTTGCATGTCATGAAAACATTTTTATCAGAAAATCAGAGATGGCCTTTTTCAAGATTTAGTTTTTTCATTACTCTAGAGGTTGGTGATGCTCTGGTGCTGACCAAAAGGATCGCAGGCAACGGGATAATTTTGACGCAATCTCGTACCCAGAGTCTTCTGGCCGAGTTTTTGTCAGCGGCGCTGACCAAAACACTAGAAGATTGATTTTGACACAATTTTTATTCCCAACATGCAAAGAAATAATTTTGTAAAGTTTGAAAATAGACAGCTTTCTGTTATCGCTATCTCCATCTTTATCGACTATTCTTAATTTTTTTTTTAAAGTTTTATTATCAGATTTTTCGATAGCTAGAATTGGGGCTTTATTGTAAATAGCTATATTGTGGGGGTGGGTTTTGTTTTAATTTGTATTTTTGCGTTTTAGAGAGCCACCAGTTTGTCAGTAATTTTTAGTTACATTTATGAGTTACCCTCTCAAAATAAAAGTCTTTGCTACCTACCTACCTACCTACCTACCTACCCAACCACCCACCTACCTACCTACCTTGATGCTAATGCCATAATAAATCCTTTTTATATAAGAATATATTTTAGAGGAATATCAAGGATGAAATTTGCGAAATTTTAAGAATATCTTAAGAATAAACCCCAGGCTGAGACTATGAAAATGATATAGTTTTGTGTGGTGAAAATCTATCAATGCAATACAATAATATGTTTTTAACTTACTCCTTTCTCTAAATAGCAAAACTAGCCAACAAAACGAAAAAAACTGCACTAACTATTATTGATTCCCCAATGTATTCTTATATCTAAAACGGAAATGTCATAAGCTATAAATTTAAGAATAATACAAGAATATTTTCAGCCGGAAATCAGTAGAAAATAAAAATATTCAGCCCGGGCCGGGAAAACAACATTCCGTATACGTATAAAAAAAGAGTGTAACTGCTTTTTTCCCCGTTTAATTTCAGCCGGAGTAGATTGAATTAAATAGACCGTCATTCACTCAAAGGGACACAACAAGAAGATGGAAATGTAAGTATCTATGAGTGTCTCATACAGTTATTTTGACTAGAAAAGTCCAATGCGTGAACCCCAAGATAGAGTATGTTATTAGTCTCTCCTCCTTGCTTTATAAGCGAGACTCTAAAAATGAAGCGTTTCTTTGCTCTTTTTTTTTTTTTTTTCGTGTGTGCGCGCCATAAAGAGGTCATGCTCCCTGCGGTTACTAGCAGAGACCGTGGAAACTGGGGATAAGAATCACGACGTGTCGGACATAATTGTATGCAAATGAGTCTTGTGATGAGCATGCCTGGTTTATTTTCGGCGATTATTGAAATGACGCGCCATGGTCATCACGTTTTTGCTTTTTGGCAGTGACGGAAATTTCGAGGCCCTTGACTTTCTTGTATGCATACACGCGTCCTCAATCAATTCAGAAACAAATCGTCGAATGCGACATAAAAAGTACATATCCTGAAGAATACTCAACCGTCGATAAAGTAGGACGTGAAAGACTTTTAGCGAGGAAATCCTGTTTATGTGTAGAATTAATCGCCTCCTCATTTCTTATCTAATCTCAGAAGCAAGTTCTTGTTTTGTCTTGATTGCTACCTGCCACCGCATCACGGTATCCTAAGCTATGAAAGTAAATCCACGACCACCAAGGTAATGGGTACAGAGTGAGGATAATAGCAATATATGATGACATGACATCAGTCGTAAAGATATCAAGGTACCAAGAGAATTTCTGACATGAAATCCCTACAGAAATTTATTTAGGGCGACATCATTTCACGATGCAAAAGGCGTACGGGCCGGAGGGGCGAGGGGGGCTGCAGCCCCCCCACCTCCATCCCCAATTTTGAGCGACTCAGATTTTTGGGGCAGCAAGAGAATATTTGGGCAAAGCCAGTTTTTTTAAAGATGTTTCCATGTTTTTTATTATTATTATTTTGAAGAGATAAATATCTTCTATTTTAACCTAAAGTCGGCCTAATAACCCAGTTACATTCACACGAGACAGTGGTTGCCTAGCACGTGATGAGTTTCTGGTTATAAGGGAAGGATATCATATGCTGATTTCTTTTACTGTTGGGCACTGTACGGCACTGCACTAACTGGTGTCGGCTATTTCCAGTCGTGAATTGATTAGAATAAACTTCAGCGTCACTTTCTAGAATCACCTCCGCTCGTAGAACAGTTTATGGCAGATATCATCAGCAATGGGTCTAAAATTAAAGTGAGGAAGTGGCTGACTAATTCTCAGTTTGAATTACGAGAAGAATCTTAATTTTTTAAAAAAAAATCTATCGAGCGGTTTAAAAATTATTCACTAGTTTGTTAAAGTAGAACGTTTACAAAACCGCTAACAAGAACGCCATGATACATTCTAATCAAATCTTTCTTTGTAGCAATTAATTGGCCAGAGCTATCTCCATGATCTTTCACACACGTTTTTAAAAAGATTGAAACTACTATGAGGTGAAATTGCAAGTCAAAAGCGCTTCGTCTTCTTCAGATAACGGCCAAACATCAAAATTTTCCTCTTTTTTACCATATTTCTAACGATAACAACTTCATCCCAAAATATCTCGATAATTCTCGTTTGAATTCGAGAAGAATCTTAATTTTTAAAAAAAAATCTATCGAGAACGATTTTCACTAGTTTGTTAAAAGAACAGTTAATAAAACCAGTCCATGATCTTTCACACACGTTTTTAAAAAGATTGAAATTACTGTGAGGTGAAATTGCATGTCAAAAGCGCTTCGTTTTCTTCAGATAACGGCCAAACATCAAGATTTTCCTCTTTTTTACCGTATTTCTAACGATAAAAACTTCATCCCAAAATATCTCGATAACGCTCTTACATATTACGTGGACGATTTTGTAAGAACAGTTACCAGTGAGAAATATTGCTGCAAGTACAATAGGTAATGGTGTCATTTCGTTACTATGACAACTGCGATCTCATTGCAATCCTGATCATGACAAATTTTCATCTTTATCTAATACAACTGTAGTGGCATGTTTTCCAAATATTTGTTTATGGCGACGTAGATTACGCTCAAACTTGGCAGGTATTGACCCTGAAAAACTGTATCGAGCTACTTTCATATGTCAGTACGGCCTATGTTGTCGCATCGTATGGCCCTCTTTTCTTTTCGACTGTTTTGTAAAAATTTAAGAAACTTGCAAGAATTTTCTGGGCAAATGAGGCATATCAGAGCGCATAAATTTTCAAACCAGTTTTTCTAAGCAAACATGTCATTCGATACTGTCTGACGGTCTGAAGTCCTTTGTTCCTGGTCTGAGAAAGATGGTTTATTAAAAATCATAAACCTTTCTAGGTCCATCGGATCAAAGAAAGCAAAAAGCTCAAGAATTTATCAATCAGTTTATTTTGTGCTTTGCGAATGCTTTAAAATTTTACGAATAATTAGCGAGAGAACCGACAAAGATTGATTGAAAAAACCTCTGACATTTGTTTTTGTTGCATCTACAACATCAGTGACACCATACAGTATTACCCTCACCGTCCTTCAAAAGCTTGTATTTTTTTTATCTTCTATGCGGCATAGAAAACCTCAGAGCAGGGCTCCCTGGGATATAAATTAGTATGGGCCACGATTGAGGCTATGGTAACGTTTATGGTTTAGTTTTTATCTAAAAAAAAAGGAATCAGTCGATTTTGATCAGTTTGTTCTAGCATCATGTGTGAATTTTTAAGAAGGACCAACAAAAGCCAACCATCCAACAGCCTGTGTACAGCCGCCCCCTTCCCTCAGAAAAACATCGGAGAAGGGGCCCCTTCTCCGATTTTTCCTGAGGGGAGGGGGGCGGATGTACACGGGCTTGCCTTCCAACATGATAGTCTTTTTCATCGCTTCATCTTTAGAAAAGAGAGAAACGATATCAGCCTAGTCCCCAGGCGTTCTCCGTTCCGTCAAACATGGACCCTACGTGACGTCACTGAAATAGACTAGCACAGACCCTTTCCCAGACTTAGTTCGGACAACGAGCCAAGAGAGAATCTCTGGGGACTAGGCTGGGGCTAGTGTTCTGTTCTCACTAGCAAACATGGTAACATATTCAAAACAATTAACAGAAGATTGTAATTCTTTTAAGCAAAAAATGACATAAGTATGTGTAATCAAATGGTGACGAGTGAAATTAGGGAATAATTTCACGAGTATACCATTTGATTACGTATTAATATCATGGGTGACGAATTACGTCAGCAGTCTTGGATTTTTGACATGTTTATCCGGGATCGTATCGATCGAGAACTCCACTCTCTCAAATCAGTTTAGACCTTAAATTTGGCGTATAAAGTTCAGAATTTTTCAGTCTTTTTCGGCAAAATACCTGTTAGAATCCTTCTTGATGTTCTCTTGAGTGTTCAGGTTTTCTAAAGCGTGTTTTTGTGCCCTGACATCTTCATTCGCGGCATTTTAAAACTTCGTCGCCATCTTGACACTGAGACTACGGAAGGGTTGCCATGGCAATTTCACATGTGAAATTACAAATTAGTAACGCTGAAATTTCGCGCCAAAATAAAAAGGAGTAATTCGTCACCTATGATATTATCTTGAACTATTACTCTTACAAATAATGTACGATGTGCAGGGGTTTATTATTATTCTCAAGAACGACTGGATCATGATTTTATAACTAAATCTCTTCTTCGTTATGTTGTTTTTTCGGTTTTATTCTCTTAGAGAACTTGATATGGACAACAAAGACGAAGTTCTTCTGACAAGTTTGTTCCTTGTTGCCCAATATCTTTGCAATACAAATCGGGTTCCAAACGCTATCGAGATGTGTAAAGATCTTTTGTTTCTTCTCGACCATAAGACACTGGGAAATATCGACGAAACGTGTGTCAAACGTTTTGAGAATGTTCACAGTAACTCAATAAAGCCCGGCACAAAACTTCTCTTCACTTTTCGACAAGTTTTCGCGAGAAAAGTGGAACTAAGCACAACCTATATGCTGGCAGAATTATACGGAAGTCAACGTGAATACAGTGAAGCAGAAGGCCTTTACTTAAAAGCATCAAAGATCGCAGAGAAAATTGGCGACAGGGTAACAGAATTCAAATGCTACGGAAACCTAATAATGAAGTTTTGTGATCTTGGCGAATATGTCAAGACTGCAGAATATTTGGAAAAATCACTTGCATTCCTACAGAAAATTGGCGCCTGGGAAGCAGTAGCCAAATGCCGTGAAAGCCTAGGAGATATCTTAACTTCACTTGGTAAATATGTCAAGGCTAAAGAACATTGCGAAAAAGCAATTGCAATCGCAGAGAAAATTGGCGACAGGGAAACAGAAGCCAGAAGCTATACAAGCCTCGGAATGATCTTTAATTCTCTTGGTGAATATGTCAAGGCTAAAGAAGATTGCGAAAAAGCAATTGCCATCGCAGAGAAAATTGGCGACAGGAAAATAGAAGCCTCATGCTATGCAATCCTCGGAGGTATCTTTCACTCTCTCGGTGAATTTGTCAAGGCTAAAGAACATTCCGAAAAAGCAATTGCAATCGCAGAGAAAATTGGCGACAGGACAATAGAAGCCACATGCTATGCAAGCCTCAGAAGTATCTTTCACTCTCTCGGTGAAAATGTCAAGGCTAAAGAACACTCCGAAAAAGCAATTGCAATCGCAGAGAAAATTGGCAACAGGACAATAGAAGCCGCATGCTATGAAAGCCACGGAAGTGTCTTTTACTCTCTCGGTGAACATGTCAAGGCTAAAGAACATTTCAAAAAAGCAATTGCAATCGCAGAGAAAATTGGCGACAGGCAAACAGAAGCCACAAGCTATGCAAGCCTCGGAATTATCTTTAATTCTCTTGGTGAATATATCAAGGCTAAAGAACATTGCGAAAAAGCAATTGCCATCGCAGAGAAAATTGGCGACAGGAAAACAGAAGCCATAAGCTATGCAAGCCTCGGAAGTATCTTTCACTCTCTCGGTGAATGTGTCAAGGCTAACGAACATTCCGAAAAAGCATTTGCAGTCGCAGAGAAAATTGGCGACAGGAAAATAGAAGCCACATGCTATGCAAGCCTCAGAAGTATGTTTCACTCTCTCGGTGAATGTGTCAAGGCTAAAGAACATTCCGAAAAAGCACTTGCAATCGCAGAGAAAATTGGCGACAGGGAAACAGAAGCCACAAGCTATAGAGACCTAGGAATTATCTTTAATTCTCTTGGTGAATATGTCAAGGCTAAAGAACATTACGAAAAAGCAATTGCCATCGCAGAGAAAATTGGCGACAGGGAAAAAGAAGCCACAAGCTATAGAGACCTAGGAATTATCTTTAATTCTCTTGGTGAATATGTCAAGGCTAAAGAACATTGCGAAAAAGCAATTGCCATCGCAGAGAAAATTGGCAACAGGACAATAGAAGCCACATGCTATGCAAGCCTCGAACGTATATTTAAGTCTCGCGGTGAATATGTCAAGGCTAAAGAACATTGCGAAAAAGCAATTGCCATCGCAGAGAAAATTGGCAACAGCGCAATAGAAGCCACATGCTATCAAAGCCTAGGAATTATCTTTAATTATCTTGGTGAACATGATAAGGCTAAAGAACAATTCGATAAAGCAATTGCAACAGCAGAGAAAATTGGCGATAGGAAAACAGAAGCCAAATGCTATTCAGACTTAGCAAGTACCTTTCATTTTCTTCGCAAATATGTCGAGGCTAAAGAACATTACGAAAAAGCACTTGCAATCGCAGAGAAAATTGGCGACAGGCAATTAGAAGCCACTTACTGTATGGAACTAGGAACTGTGTTTATCACTGGCGGTGAATATGTCAAGGCTAAAGAACTTTTCGAAAAAGCACTTGCAATAGCAGAGAAAATTGGCGACATTGAAAGAGAAGCCAGGATTTATGGAAACCTAGGAAATGTCTTTAACTCTCTCGGTGAATATTTCAAGGCTAAAGAACATTACGAAAAAGCACTTGCAATCGCAAAGAAAACTGGCAACAGGGAAATAGAAGCCCAATGCTATGAACACCTAGGAAATGTCTGTTATTTTCTTGATGGATATGCCAAGGCTAAAGAATTCCTCGAAAAGGCCCTTGAATTGAAGAGAAAGTATAAGCATTGCGAAAGCGAGTCACTTGCTCACTTCCTTCTTTCATTTTTTATGTTTAAGGAAGGCAACATATGTGAGGGTAAATCAAACGTCTTTGTCGGTATGGAGAAGATGGAAGTTACTCGACGTCTCCGATTTCATGATAAATTCAAGATATCGTATTTTGAAGGATTCTCTATGAAATATCGAGCACTCAGTCAATGTCTTTGTGATACTGGCTCTCCTTACGAGGCTCTTTACATAGAAGAATATAGTCGAGCCAGGGCCCTTACAGACTTAATGGCAGCTCGGTACTCTGTAGAAAACGAAATACCAGTCAGTCGACCAACATGGGATTATATTGAAAGTATCGTCAAGAAAGAATCCAACTGTGCTTGTCTTTACATATCATACCTCGAACAATTCATAAATTTTTGGGTTGTTAAAGCAGGCAACCCTTTAATTTTCAAGCAAATAAAAGTAAATGATGTTTTTGGATCAGTAAGCAGAGTGGCTGACTTGCTTTGTGACGAAATTTCCAGAGAGGTACTTTGCTTAGCTCCTGAACAGTGCGAGGATCGATCCTGGCTTCCCTCAAACGCCTACAAGGAGCAGGGGTGTGAACGCCTAACTGGAGAAGAAGATGAAGATGAGAACCAGCCAGCCGAGCGTACTCCTGCTTGTCTCTACAAAATGATCATTGCTCCCGTAGCCGACTCTCTTGATAAGTCTGAAATCATCATTGTTCCTGATCGCCTCCTTTACAAAGTTCCATTTGCAGCCCTAGAAGACAAAGATGGAAAGTGTTTATCAGAGTCTTACAGGATCCGCATCGTACCATCTTTGACGACTCTAAATCTTATTCAGGACAGTCCGCCAGACTATCACAGTCAGAGTGGTGTGCTCATAGTGGGGGACCCTAAAGTTGGTGAGGTGTTGTACAAGGGAGATCTTCAGCAGGTATCGAGGCTGCCTTCTGCAAATAAAGAAGCAGAGATGATTGGAAAACTGTTCGGTACTCAACCTCTGCTAGGGAAACAAGCCACAAAGCAGGCGGTCCTTGAAAACATTCATTCTGTGTCTCTGATACATTTTGCTTGTCACGGTAATGCCGAAAGAGGTGAAACTGTTCTTGCCCCTCCACCCCTCACTAATAGGACACCTCAAGAAGAAGACTACTTATTGACTATGGAGAACATTTCGAAAGTTCAACTGCGAGCCAAACTGGTGGTCCTTAGCTGCTGTCACAGTGCAAAAGGACAAATCAGTGCCGAGGGAGTTGTTGGAATTGCTCGTGCGTTTTTAGGATCTGGTGCACGCTCAGTGTTGGCGGCACTGTGGGCCATAGAAGACGAAGCAACAGAACATTTCATGACTCATTTCTACGAGAACCTTGTTCATGGGGAAAGCGCCAGTGAATCCCTTCAAAAAGCCATGAAGTGGATGAGAGAAAACCGTTTCTCCAAGATTTCGCAGTGGGCGCCATTTATGCTTATTGGAGACAACGTCAAGTTGGATATTCACAAGTTAAGGTCATCGGAAGGACAGTAGAAGTTGATGAACAAAACGATGGTCCTTTTCCCCAACTCCCTCGTGTTTGTCCTTAAAAATACATGATTAACTTTGCGTTTTTGTTAATGAAATAATAAACATAATGCCAATTTTTTTCAGTACAACAGTGAAGATGTCATACATATATAGAGTTTAAACTGAGTCTCTGATACCTAAATACAATAAGATAAACATTTAAGATGGAGAAATCCGTTTTTGTTTATGAAATAACTCGCATATAGTTGTCACTTATGATAACTTTTCAACTCAAGGTTCATTTCAGACTATTTGTTACAGTGATTTTTACTAACTTTTAAATCGTCTCCTGATGCCGGGGTTATAACTAATTGTTTACAGTTTTTTCTTGTCAGGAGAAAAAATTTATTAGCTGTTGCTCGAAGAATATTCACTTGTAAATGTTAAACAGGACAGTTGTGTCTTACAATACACATGCTTGTGTCCCAGATGAGATGTAGTTGCGGCAGTTGCACGACTGGTACGAGTCGTAACCGATTTGAAAACAGCTCCCTCGCTGCATCCTTTTATGCTAAGTGCCGCTAATGAGATAGGGTTTAACGTTTAGTAATACCTTCTATTATTTCAATGAAATTTATCCTATTCACCACTTGTATGAATCGCACAAATGCACTGAAGGCTTTACTCACCATCGCGATTTGTACCACTCGTACAAGTTGTACAGTTGTAGCAATCGGAATCGCGATCTGAACAAGCGGCGAGTATTGGACATCCTCAAACGTGAAGACATTTAGCAGTAACTAACTTTAAGGGGTTTAAACAGGTAGATACGACAATATACCTAGTGACGAAAATTTATGGTAGTCACCGCAACTGTATGAAAATTAAAGATGAAACTCATTTGTTATTAAATTGTTTAAGCGACTCGTCGAAAACAAACATGATCGTCAATTTCTAAAACAGATCCTAAAACCTCATTTCTACGACTACTATCAAATGAGACCTTGTAATCAAATCTAATGAACTGCCCTTATGCATGTTTACCCTAGACGAATAATTTTAAGCAGTCAGCTCGAAGATATTCGCTTATTAGCTACTCTAAAATTCGAGTATAAATAAAGTTTATGTTATGTTATGTTATGTTAAGCATCAAGCAACGTTTTGGCGACAATGAACGTTAAGAAGTCTTCCATATATGAATTTGAAAACAGTACGTAAGAGCAGAATTTTGTTCACAAAAGAGGCTTGGTGGTGAAAATTGCTGGTCTGATGTAAACATGCATAAGGGCCCTTCTACCGATTATTTTATTCAATAAAATTTCATTCATCTCATCTTGCTTTGAATTGAGAGACAATCTATGTTCCAAAATAACTACCCTTAAGAATGGTTAAAAATAAGTGATGATTGAATTTTTTCTCTTTTCTTATTTCGAAGTTATTTTAATTAATCAAATAATTAAGAATTAAATTTAAGTGGCTTTTGCAATACTGTATTACATTGTTACAGTCATGCAAATAAAGCTTGTTGTTGTTATTCTAGACTGGAAATGACTTCTTGTCTGCAGAGGGTGAGGGTGGGGAAAAGGGGGACTCTTGGATGGGAGACCTGTGGTTTGCTGAGCGGAAGGCACATGTTCCGAAGATAAATCGAGAACCCAAACTAACATCTACACGTATTTTATTCCACCTTCTATTCCACTGTTTGTACAACTTGTCAAGCATGCACGATGGTTACTAAATCATAGTTATTAAAGTGGTATGGGGTGTGAAAATCGCTAGACTCCTTTGTTATATGTTTTTGTTAGCGGAATGTACCTTTCCATTGGGCACATGAAATTTCCGAAATTTCAAAGCGGAATTTTTGTTGAATGGAAAGCCCCCGAAACGTCTGATTTTGATAGCCCATTAACTTATAATCTCTGTCCCGGGAATGGACCCAGTTTGGACCCTTCGAAGAGAAATTTCCTTTCTTTTGTCTGACCTTCTTAGCTCCAACGTCTCCTCGAGCGGCAAGTCCTTTGGGTCAAGATCAGAGATAACACATCACACTTGATCAGGCGTAACAAAAAAGTCATATTTCCGTCTGATTTTCTTGTGCATGCCTCCTTCCTTTCTCACAAGGACCTTACGCCACGTCCCTAGCGGCGAGAAGCAAGGAGAAACGGCTGTATTCGCAGGCTACAACTTCCTGGGCCTTCCGATTCCTTTTTGGCAACCTCTTTAATGTTTTCAACGGAAACCTCGTCATTCTTGTAATAAATCCCGAAATTACGGAAACGTCCTTCGAGAGGTCGGATGCTCAAGGCGTATTGCGGAAACTCTTTTCGCAAAAAATCACTCGCTTTCTCGCGTTGAAGACCTTGTTTGACATACTTGAATATCGATTCCTTACAAGAAAGTAACAGAAACAAGGCGCTATCGGAGTGTACATTTGAGTATCATTGAATCACGCGTATTTGAGTATTTTTGGGTGTGTTAGGCGCTTGTAAGTGCCGTAGTGTTGCTAATTGGTAAGGGTTGGTTGAGATGGGTTAAAAAGGACACGTGGAGTCATAGTGGACGTTGCTTGGTATGTAAATAGCTCTAATTTTCCCTCGGAATTCCAAACACAAACTGGCTCAGCGAACAGCAAACGCGACGACTACTAAGGGCCTGTTTACATGGAAGTGGGGGATCCCAGGTAGGCGAGGTAACTCGCCTGTCCATATAATCTTTCATTTTAATTTGATTACGTTTACATGATAGATGGGGTGACCCGCCAAGGACGCCAAGGCTGGTAGCCCGGTCTGCCAGACCGGGTAACCCTCTCAGCCGGGGTCAAATTTTGCCATGTAAACGCTTCAAGGTGGGGTAACCCGACTAGTCGCGGTCGGATTAGTGATATATCATATTCGTGCAAAATACACTTTGGCACACAGTGGCTTTGCATCATTATTAAAGGTAACAATAGAAAGCCATAGCACTGAAGATTGTAGCAGGAACAGCATGTGGATATAGAGGAACATTAATCGCCAAAACATGTGGTTTGCCAGCATTTTTCCTGTTTACGTGCTTAGCGACTATTCAATAATCATGAGAAAAATGCACCCCGGGATGGCGGGGTTGTAAGATTGCATATGACGGAGGGTTATTTTTTCACCCCACCTAAGCGGGTTACCTCACCTACCTGGGGTCCCTCACCTCCAGGTAAACAGGCCCTAAGAAATGTTATGGTATGGCATCATCTCCATTTCGAATGGCAAGCGAACGCGCGAGTGAGCGACGAAGCCGTATGTGGCGGAGGAAAAGAAGAGTTCTCCTTTTCTTTCCTCGCACCTTGCTCTGGCGTGCCACTTGCACGTGACTACCCTCACGACTGATTTATATATCAGTGTCATTATTTGACTCGAATTATAAAGCTACATTCTTTACTTTAGCGTTTTTAAAATTCCCGCAGTAGAAGAGTCTCGGAACGGAAAAAGAATTACGGACGAATGCGCTAACGTTAAAAAAAAAATATTCCCAATAGGCCATTTCCGAGTTTCCCCGCGCCTCTGTTTCAAAACGAGGGTAGGTGCTCAGCCTTTGATATGGAAATCATTTTTCATTCTCGTTCAAATAAAACTCATTTTAACAAGAAAGGCTGTGCGCCTAGCCTCATTTTGAAAGTGAAGGTTTTTGAAACTCCGAAGTGGCCTATTCAAACGATGCATAAAAAATCACTCTGAAATGTATCGATCATGGTGGTATGTAGTGGGCACTAATTTGAAAACTTAGCATAAAGTCAGAACAGTGCTAATCGGAACGCAGAGATCTTGGCCTGTTTGTAGGCTAGGTTCGGCTTGGACCTTTACGGTGGTGCAGTAAATCAATGTTAATGAAAGTTTGACGCACCATTATGCTCATCATATATGATGATTACGTTATTTGTTATTTTTGTAGAATAGGTCATTTCCGAGTTCCCCCGGGCCTCTGATATCAAAATAATTTGTCATTCTCATGCGAATAAAACTCATTTTCATAAGAAAGGTTGTGCACTTGGCCTCATTTTGAAAGCGAGGTTTTTGGAACTCGGAAGTGGCCTAAACTATCGAGCCGTTCCTGAGATATATGAAAAAGCGTTCAAAATTTTGCAGAAAGTTGCACTTGGAATGGTGTTTATAAAAAAAGCTAGTTTCCAAGATCGCAAAATTGGAAATACACCAAAATTTCCTAGCATGGAAATATATGATATTAGGCATCATTGTGACGATACTTTTGAGTAATTTGAGTTGTTTGGAATTTGTCTATTATTTGTTCATGTATCACCACTTTTGAAAATATAAGGTTTGAAATTTATTTGCGTTCTATTTGAATTCAAACACAGAATTTTTTTATTCTTACGAAGATTATTTCCCAAACACCGTTCTTTTTCCTTTTTTGCTTAAATGGGCTGTAGTGATAATGATGATGATAACTTTATTTACGTCTCAAACTTCTAGCTTAGCACAAGTGCTGAAACTAATCGGGGAGACATGCTATGCTATTAGCATTTTAATTTTTGGTTCATGAATAAGTTTCCGATCAAGCGTCGTTAATCAATGCTGTTGTTGTTGTTGTTGTTGTTGTTGTTGACCTGACTTCATAGACAAGCCTACTTAACGCCGGAACCGTTTTTGTAATTCCAAACCTGTATAGGCTTCTAGTGTAGATTAAGAGAGTTTTACGGGATAGTTAGGAAACTTCCGGATTTTTAGGGATGTGAAGGGATTTTTTAGAGAATTTGGTGAAGCCGAAGAGTTTTGAAGAAATTTTGGAGACATTCTGGAAAGATTTTAGACCATTCAAATAATTTTTTGTGGCTAAGACTAAACATCCATGTCACTGTTAGACGTATTTCTTAGTAAACAATTGCTCTCTTTCTTTCCTAACCATCCTAAAGTCGTATTATGAGCTTACGAAAGAGAAACACGGAAAAAGGGGGAGATATGCATGCGGCGGAAAGGTGGCAACGTAAGCTTCTAGCCTTCCTGACCCATAAATCGTGGTTTATCCCTCGCCAGTAG